CTTGTTCGACTTCATGCAGCTCTGCGCAGACCGATCGGCGGCAGACTTGAAGCAGTGCATGCCGGTTAGAAATTTTGTCCGACTTGATACAGCGCCGACGCCACGTGACTGTGACTATGCCATCAAAGTACCGCGAGAGCGATTCGAGAGCAGCCGGAGAACTCAGCCAGCGCAGCTTTTGAAGAGCGGCTGCTCTGGGCTGCACGAGCTCTGATGACGACACAGCTGTTCCACGATTGGCCGGATTCACCGCATGACAACGATCACGTGCGTTTCGTGTTTATTCGGTTTATTCTCACACCTTTAGTTCCACTAAAGCTCACAAATCAGTTTTTTTTTATAACAGTAAACACTCTTTTCATGTAGTCGCGATGTATTGTGTTATGTTTATCAAAATAAAACTGATTAAAAAACGTTGATTCAACTTCATTGATAGTAGCTGTAGGCTTATGTTGAACTTTATTCTTGTTCAAACAAACGCTGCATGAAGCAGTACATAAAGTTTTGAATGAAAATGTCTCTGAAACATCTGTGTATTTGGCAAATATTGCATTTATTTCACTTCAGCTGTGCTAAAGTGTACAAACACCACGTGAGCGGTCACTACAGGAACCAGAAAGTGTCCGACTTCACGTCTCCGTTTGCAGCTCCTCCCCGCCTGCACGCGGCTACTCTCGCCGATCGCTTACATCCAGCCGCAGCCGATGTCGAACACACCTATTATCTCTCGAATTTACGTTTGATCGCGCGATATAACATGATTTAGTTTCTATAAACAGAACCACAAAACCAGCAACAATTTGTTTCCATCCAGAGGAGTACAGGGGAAACAACTCTGTGCTGACCAGCTGATCTCCTTTTTTTGTGGAGATTATTGTGAATATTTTTAATTATATAATCAACTTATAAAGTGCTAAATGTTTATTTTGGGTTCCTTTTTGAATGAATTGGGAAAGTAGTAGGCTGTGTAAATAAAGTTAACTATTGTTCTTGTTGGAAAAGGAAAAACTATTTTTATTTTGAAAATTACCAGATGTTTTATTTTGTTTCTGTGCTCGACTTCCTGCGGCGTTCTCCGGCATCCGGCAAAAATAGAAACTCTGCGTATCTTCTCCGGAGGGCTGCGGGACGCCGGAGCTGGGACGGAGTCGGAACGCAGCCGTTCCGCAGTCAGTGAAAATGCACACATTGACTTTAATGGAAACCTATTGACTCCGCCGCCGTTCCTGAGCGGATCCGCAGCCGTTCCGCAGTTGGTGGAAATTGGGGGTTAAAACTGGCACCCGGGCGCGATGTATTACGCCCGTTTCACATATACTCCGTGTGCAGTGCGTATGCGGTGCGTATGCGGTACAGGAGCAGCACGCGCTATAGTGCTTTCACATGCTGCGTGCGTTTGCAGTGCGCAACTGATCCGAGGCTGTACACATTAACTCACTATTTGTATTTAAAAAAATCATCAATCAAATCAAGTCATCAGCAACTTTTATTTAAAAAAAGTTTTTGCCTCCAGTGCGATTCTCTTTGTAAGCTACACATATACACTCTTTAATAGACGTATTCACGTTTAAACACAATTTAAACAACGTATTATTCAATGCATTACTTTTATATAGATTATATATTAAGTTGCTAAAGCAAGTGGTAACATATTTAACCATGTAGGCTACTTATATTAAAATCGCAAACATTTTAAATTAAAACTTAAAATTGACAAAAACAGCAGACTCAAACCTTTTCTTTTGCATAATTTAAATCTTTATACAATAAATCTTGCATGTCACAAGTAACTTGTTTTTCCACCTCAACGAATGAGACGAGTGTCGTTCATTATGTGGCCTTGTTGAAGTAAATTGTAGCTTTCTTTGCTTTACCCCGGTCTTAAAGTAAAAAGATGACTATGAAAAATAGTAGTATTTAATTTAATGCATTTATGGTTACATTTTATTTAATTAAATACATTTATGGTGAGATTACTACATTTTATTGAATTAAATGCATTTATGGTGAAATTACTAGATATTCAGGTCAGTCTGTGTTCATTTTGACCACAAACCGTGTGCGGTCACTTTAATTCAGCGTTTGCAGCAGCAAAAATAGACTCGGTGCGTGAACGATCTCTCCACTGCTGTATACGCACCGCAACTGGAACGGATCGACGGACCGCATCCGCGTGCAGTGTGAAAGCTCTAACCTGTTAACATGGGTATGGAAAAAAATACGCACCGCAAACGGAGTATGTGTGAAATGGGCGTTTGGGATGCGCCTTGCCTCGCCTGAAATGTATGCGAGAGTAGGCGGCTGCAGTGAGGGGAGGAGTGAAAAAAGTGCAGGCAAGACGGACAGATCTCTCTTCTCGCAGTGACACCTGCTAGATCAAAGACTGACATCGCGGGATTCACGCCCATGCACGGTGTTGCTAATAAACTGGATGTAATGAAGTTCTGTTGCTTTTATATGAAAATAAATATAATGAACAAGACACCCAAAGTACTTGTTATCTAATTACATTCCAAATATGTGTTTATCAATCATTTTTTCTTTAATACAGTCATGTGTTTTTATATTGTTTCAATAAAAATGACATCACATACCCATATCGCACTGTCAGAGAGTTTATTCACATATAGCATACGTATACACATAAAACATGATTTCAGAGTTTTAAAATCAAACATTTTAAAAGACAACAATACATCATGGTTCTTTAAACCAATGAGTATTAAGCTGTTTCGTCAGCAAGTCATTTCCCATCATGCTTTTGATCAGCGATTCAATGCAGTCGGTGGAGAGCAACTGTGCGCGACTGCAGAATCCGACAAGTGCGCCTTGCGCTCGGGAGAGTTTTTTGACATACGTCAGCATGACATCAGAGCAAGGCGGACCGCACTTGGACACATTTCTAACCGGCATGCATCTCGCCGCTAGTTATGCCAACTAATTTGTGGCATTGTCTTGTCATTGGATAATCGTCTGCTCATTGTTCATAGGTGTCCCTTGTCTTGTCATTAGTCTTGTGTATTTAAGCCCTCATGTTTGCCATGTGTCTGGGTCAAGTATTGTTTCCTGTAACCTCTGTTGTGTAAGTCTATGTCCATGGTTTTGTTTCATGCCATGTCATGCTTTGTTTTATGTTTTGATCCTGTTGTATGTTATTTTTGAATAAATACTTGCACTTGGGTTCTCGCTACAACTTGCCTCCAGTGGATCCTTACACGCACGTGGAGTGTTTCCTTGACAACAGTTGAGGGGATATTTTGGAGAATGAATGACAGCGGGAGTCTCTGAGGACACATCTGTGCAATCGTATCAGTTTGAACCGGAGTCGGACCCCGAACAAGTTGATGGCCGCAAAGAAGTTCGACAATTAACGCCCGTTTCACACATACTCCGTTTGCAGTGCGTATGCGGTGCGTATTTTTTTCCGTACCCATGTTAACAGGTTAGAGCTTTCACACTGCACGCGGATGCAGTCCGTCGATCCGTTCCAGTTGCGGTGCGTATACAGCAGTGCAGAGATCGTTTCCGCACCGAGTCTATTTTTGCTGTGCTGCACCGCACTGAATTAAAGTGCCAGCGCATTGTTGACATTAAAATAGACATAGATTGACAAGAAACTGTATTAATTTCATCATATACTCATAATTACAGTTAATGTCTTCTACAGTTACTAAATTACAGGGTCAAGAAAACCAAAAAAGTATGATTGTAGTACCAAAAGTTGCTAAATGCCATCATATATGATTTTTTCCCCCTCAAAAAAATCCATGATATATATTTTGTGGTGGGGGTGGGGGGAACACTCGCATCACAGCAGGCAATCACGTGATAGGCTGGTGGACAGAAAAGTAGCCTACTCAAAAGAAGGTGACATGGATGATACTCGTCTCATCGTGGAGGTGGAAAAACACATCATTCTTTATGACCCGCAGAATATGCTGTACAAAGATTTGAATGCCAAGGAAAAGGCATGGGAAGCAATTTCCTCGGCTATTGGTGTCGATGGTAAGTTTTAAAATGTTTGTTTCAAGTGCGATGTTTACATAGGCCTATGTAGGCTATTTAAACTTGCTTTAGTTGACTATCTAATGAATAGCATGTATTTTTATGATTATTGCTTTTAAACGAGAATACAAAGATATTATTGCTGTATGTTGTTCTATTTAAACTGAATACTGTAGGCTACTTTGTTGCCCTTTTTATCTATTTTGTTGGTCGTTACCTTTCAACTTCATGTAATGCGAATTTATTGAATTATTAAATTTAATTTATGAAGGTCTGAACAGGAAATATAGAAAGTCTGAAGATATAAATTAACATCTGAATATGTAGTTGTAGCCTATGCCTGAATTCCTAAGTAAATCTTATTATATTGTTAATTTTTTTAATATACAGAAGTTAAGCAGTGTAATTTAAGTTTGTTATAATTATATAGTTATAATTTTAAGTATGTAATTATAAATCAAAATGTAAAAACTTTTGGTGCTACAGCCAGCCTTTGGAAAAATACTTGTTTTGGTGTAGATAAGTGACATGTACTAACAGTAATTAATATAGTCTATTACAATATCTGCATTGATGCATGTTAACAAGCTTAATCTTTTAATTACAAAGGCAAATTGCAAGAACAGCTGTTTATTGACATGTCTGATAATATATATTTAGCTATGCATTTATATATTCTGTATTTATAAATTTATATTCTGATTTAAAGATATCGAATACAAATTATACCTTGATTAATATATATATATATATATATATATATATATATATATATATATATATATATATATATATATATAACCTGTATCTTCTTTCATTACAAAAAAAATAGGACAAGAAGTGGTTAAATTCTATTTATTTGCTTTTTTACTTTATCCAATTTACGACAGGTTTTATTTTCTAAAAAAAAAAAAAAAACTATTTACAACTTAAAAAGTTCTGTACAATTTGAAACAGTTGTGATTTCAGGTCCTTGGAGAAGGTTAATAAAGATCTTAGATCATCTGTTCTTGCCAGGACACTCTGCCTTCTGGGGAGTTGAAAAATGTGTAAAGCCTCTCGCGTACGTCATAGGCTTCCCTGCATCCCCTGTTGCCACCCATATTTCTCACACATGGTAGCACTTCCCCTCTTTCTTCTGACTCCTCCAGCCACCTTTGGTTCTCTGAAGGATTCAGGAGGTAGTTGTGGAGGATGCAGGCTGCAGTGACCACAGAATCAGCATTTGACGGCTTCACATTCATCTTTGTGTGGAGCACTCTCCATCTAGATGACAGAATGCCAAAGGCACACTCAATAACCATCCGTGCCCGAGACAATCTGTAATTAAACATTCTGCGCCATTGTGGAATTTGTTTCCCAGGAAATGGCCTCATCATATATGTTTTCAAGGGAAATGCAGCATCTCCCACCATGGTGTATGGCATCGGACCTTGTGCCCCAGACCCTGGCAAAGGGCAGTCTGCAGGCACAGACAACTTTTTGGCCTCCATTGCTCTTCCAAGTGCTGAACCACTATATACTCCTCCATCACTTGTTCTACCAAAGTCACCCACTTGTAGAAAAGTAAATCGGTATTCAGCATCAGCCAGAGCTAAGAGAACAATAGAGAAGGTACCCTTGTAATTAAAATACAAGCTCCCAGAATTTGCTGGTGACACTAAGGTGACATGTTTTCCATCAATTGCACCTAAGCAATTTGGAAAATTCCATTTCTCCCAAAATTTGGTGGCAATATTTTTCCACATTTCCTCAGTTGGTTTTGGGAACTGGGACGCCATCATTTGCCTCTCAATAGCTCTGCATGTCATGTGGACCGATTCAGCCACGGTACTTATCCCAAGCCTATATTGGAAGGCTAGACTGCTGAAACTCTCCCCTGTGCCAAGGAATCTGTGAACAAAAGAAACATTAATAATGTATTAAAATATATATGCACTTTTTTTCAGTGACTGAATGCAAGCGGAGATGGAGACTACTGAGAGATGCCTTTGTAAGGAGTAAAAAGCAAAAGAAAATGCCTAGTGGTTCTGCTGGTGGCACTGTCAAGGAGTGGAAATATGAACGAGTGATGTCTTTCCTATTGCCACATATGCAGGCCAGAAGGTTAGTATGTTTGTAATGTTGACAAAATAACTCAATTAATTAGGGGAAACAACAATTGTCTAAAGAAATCTGTATTATTTTTGGAATACTATTATACTGTATGTTTTCAAAATACATAACTAATTTTATGTAATTATATTACATTGTAAATGAACATTAATAGCATCTGCTATCATTTCAGTTCAAAAACAACTTTGCAGCTAGAGGATGAACCAGTGGATATGAGTTTGGCTGAGGAGGATGTGGATCCAGAGATATGCCAGCTAAGCAGACCATACAGTCCCCTTTTACAAAGGCCTGCAACACCTGCGTTGGAAAATCAAATATCTTTAACCCCCACACCACCCCCAGCCACCTCCACTCCTCCATTAACACAAATAGCTGACACCCCTGCCCATCCCAGAGTGCAGGCAATAATGAATGAAGGTCGACAGAGACAAAAAAGGAGAAGAGTTGCATCACCAAGTCCAACAGAACAACAGCTTCTTGATATCATCACTCAACCTACAACTACAGCTCCACCTCATGTACCAAGACAGGAGGATGAGATGTACTATTTTGCCCTCAGTTTAGTGCCTAAACTAAACAGGCTTCATCCAAGAAACCAAAACAGAGCACAAATCCATATCCTCAACTACCTTGCAAATGTGGAATTAGAAGACGAAAATCAACGACATCAAGCCACACAAGCCGGCCCTGCTTTCTCACGTACCCAGCCATCACAAAAAGGATTTCAGCCAATCCACCCCAACACCTCCTGCCATGAAGTCCAGACCCATCACCCCCACCATATGACACCTCCCCCAACTACATCCTACCATCAGCATGGATCAGAACAGGACTCCTCTCCTGTTTATCACCAGTTCCCTTAATTCTTTAAAGTTTTTAGTTGTACACTAGACTTATATGTTTATTGTTAATTATGATTAGGTTTGCAATATTTGTTCATTTAAAATATGCCAATAAGTTATTACTTTAATGTTCTTTTCAAGGTCTAAAGTGTTTATAAGTTCTCTTACTAATATGTACAAAGTTTACCCATATTTTCATGTCTGAGTTGTAATACTTAATCGAAATATTTTAATATGTTTTTCTTTATATAATATATTTGAAAATGCTACATTTTATAAAAAAAAAAGTACTATATATATATAGCCTACTTTTTAAATAAGTACACTATAGCAATTTTCACTTGTGTTGTATTTTGTAAATGTGAATAATAAAATAATTTAAAAAAAATATATACATGTAATTACTGTGTACTTTCTGTCCTGACCTCAGTGTAACAGCAAGCCTCTGCTTGGGTTCGATGGACGCACGATAAGTTGTGGTTTGCCTTGTGATGTCTGCCCCAACCAGAGAAAGAACATTATCCATCTGTTCTGCACTCATCCGAAAGTACTTTAGGTGCCGGTCACTGTAAAGTCGAAGTTCTGAGACAAGATGGTAATAAGCACCAAACTGTCTCCTGCCTCTGTTGACTGAGTGAACCCAAATGCGTCTCCTTCTTCTCCTTCTTAGCAACAGATATAGCGCGATAGCTTTTCTTCTGTCAACAACTCGAACTACATGTAAAACAAAGAATCACAATGATTAAAATTAATTTTCATACTATTTCAATGTCTTAAACAATGTCAAAGTTAACGGTTGGATTTAAAATCAAAATTACTTACCCATTTTTGATTGTGTGCCACACAAAAACGGCGGATCTGTGTATGAAATGGAAACAGCGGATCCGGCGGATGCGCACTGCATACGCAGCATATGTGAAAGCACTATAGCGTGTGCTGCTCCTGTACCGTATACGCACCGCAACACGCACCGCATACGCACTGCACACGGAGTATGTGTGAAACGGGCGTAAGGCTCGAACAGGACGTTTCTGAATGGTTGGTTATTATAATGTCACTTTGATCTATCTTTGTGTACTGGCAGGGTAGAGTAACTTAGTGAGATGTACGAACGCTATCTGTTACTGATGTATACGTACTCAGTTTGTAATAACACAATAACCATAGCGCATTGTTCATTATAAACGTGGGATTATGAATTATATTGAGAACGTCGTACATAGAAAACATGCCGTGTGTACCCTGTCCCTGAGTGTAAACCCATAGTGTAAACCTTAGCCGCATTCATCGTGAAGCGATTTGCAAAGGTTAATATAAAGGTTAATACAATTTTACACATACTTTTTCTGGAGGTGCAACAGGGACATGAATAGTTGGTAACGATTCTTTTTTCAGGAGCAGCTTCTTAGCAAAACCAGCTTCATAAGTTACTTCCCTCGTTGATAAAGCAGTCTGGTAAGAAAAGATTCGCGAATCGCGCAAACATAAAAGCATTGACGTTGCTCGTGGGGAATATTCCCTTCGAAAACAAAACTCAGCCAATGTGTCTTCAGCGGTTCGGATTTAGGAACATCAAAATGACTCTGTGTTCGTTATATTACACCCAAGAACAGAACACGACAATCGCTTAGACGCCATTCTGCTCCAGTGCATCAACAATGACGGACTATGATGACGCTCGCTCAGGGCGGGTCTGTGTTGAAACGCTGCTATCAATCAACAATCGTGGGAGGGGCGTTCGATTTATTGACGTCACAAAATCGAACGCCTCAATTTGAGGCAGGGGAAAACATATAAGGATATTAAAACAAAAACACTGGATAGATTTTTATCATTATATGATGGTTGTGTACAGGCACTGCCAACACACATTTCAGTACAATCAACTTGAAAAAGTGCATGTACCATTATATGACCCCTTTAAGCACTAATTCTTCAAAAGAATTATATTTGAAACAAGACTTCTCAGTAATACTGAAGATATTATAAGAATTATAAGAAAAAGAAGATACTATAAATTACACCAAAACCTTTGCCTTTCAGACGAGGCTCATATTTATAACAGTAATCTTGGGGGATGGACTCATTTAAAGTAATGTAATTATTTGTTTTTTTGTCAGGTTTCTGTCAAACACAGCACATCTAGATTATGATCTCTAATCATATCATTTACAATAAGTGCTTTTGAAGAAAGGGATTGAATATTCAGCAACCCGATCTTTATCATTTGTTCATCTGAATTTTTTCACACTATAAGCTGCTTTGATTAGGAGTGAAAGATAAAGGGGGACTGGCTTTATTGATTCAGATACATGTCACTGCACTGATTGGTCCAGTTTTGGTCTGCGATCTCTAACCCAGAATAAAACCTGCTCCAGAACAGCTTAGCCGTGTAGTGTAAGTTACCATGGTGATGAAAACAACTAAAAACCAATCCACTTTCTTGAGCCCGAAAAAGCCAGAGTTTGTCAAACTAATCTCGAACTTTTCCTGTTAGCAAATGAAATCGGCTTTGCGCAACAGGCCACAGGACGTTTTTATTGTTTTACTAGAGACAAAGAACTGCCTTACACTGACAGCTAAATGACAAGTCAGAAAGTTACAACTTAAAAACAACTTTCACAAAACTAACGTCACAGAATTAAAGTTTATTTCACTATATTTTTGCTTTATCTTAATCTCACAGTTTATTTTAATTATTGGATCTGTAGAAACCTTTTACTCACAAAATTACACATTGTCAGTAAAATGGTAATTTTATTTGTTGTTATTGTGCATACATCTGTATATGTAATAACAAGCTTTATGTAACTAAAAAACAAACAAAATAAAAACTTGATCAAATTCAGGGAATTGTTTCATATATTAACAATAAATGATTGTTGTTTTTTTCTGCATTTCTTTCCAGTCTATTTTCATTTTGGTATTTCTTTGAGTAAGCGTTCAATCAAAATAATTTTCAATAATATTATTGTTCTCCAACATATAAAACACAAATCTTGTGGCATTCACAGCAACAGTTTATTAGTTAACTAACAACACATTTACTTTATGTGAATCTAACACAACATTTGCTCACTGTGACACAGAACAATGCTTTCTAATATGAGTCACTAGACTACATGATTGGGTGAAACTCTTCTCACACTGAGTACAGTAGTACGGCTTCTCTCCAGTATGAACTCGCTCGTGTGATTTCAGAGATCCAGACAGAGTGAAACTCTTGTCACAATATAAGCACTTGTAAGGTTTTTCTCCAGTATGAATTCTTTGGTGCTGTTTCAGACATTCAGCTGTAGTAAAGCTCTTCCCACAGTCAAAGCACACATGATCTCTCACTTCATTATGTGTTTTCTGGTGCTGTTTAAAACTGTCCAGTTGTGAAAAACTCTTTCCACAGAGTTGAACACAGATAGAGATTCTCATCTAAATGAACTTTTAGGTGATCTTGTAGTTGTGATGATGAAATAAAATCTTTACCACACTGATCACAGTTAAATGGCTTTTCTCCAGAGTGAATGAGCAGATGATAACTGAGAGCTGATGCTTGAGAAAAACTCTTTCCACACTGAGTGCATGTATACGGTTTATCTCCAGTGTGAATTATCATGTGTGTGTTAAGGTCTCCTTTCTGTGTGAAACTCTTGTCACAATATGAGCACTTGTAAGGTTTTTCTCCAGTATGAATTCTTTGGTGCCGTTTCAGATGATCAGCTCTAGTAAAGCTCTTCCCACAGTCACAACACACATGATCTTTCACTTCATTATGCGTTTTCTTGTGCTTTTTTAAACAGTTCAGTCGTGAAAAACTCTTTCCACAGAGAGAACACACATAAGGCTTCTCATCTGAATGAACTTTCAGGTGTGATTTTAGATGTGCTGATGAAATAAAATCTTTGCCACACTGATCACAGTTAAACGGCTTTTCTCCAGAGTGAATGAGCAGATGATAACTGAGACCTGATGCATTAGAAAAACTCTTTCCACACTGAGTGCATGTATACGGTTTCTCTCCAGTGTGAATTCTCATGTGTGTTTTAAGGTTTCCTTTCTCTGAGAAACTCTTTCCACACTGAGTGCAGGTGTGCGTCTTTTTGGCTTTTGTTCTTTGAATTGTAAAGTTACGATGTTCCTCCTCCACTTCATTCAGTTCTTGTCTTTGCTCTTTCACTCTCACCTGGTCTAAAATACACAGAAATACAGTTTGAATCAGTTCAAGTGAACCCTTATTTAATAGCAGAAAGGAACAGAGATCAGATCTTTCACTTTTTGTTCTGTCATTCACTTGTTAATATAGTAAAAAATATGATTGACAACTGCTATATACAAGGTTATGATATTTTGGATGTATTTCTCTGTCATTTATTATCCATAAACTGCTTATTAATTCACATCTACCAAAGTGTCAACAATGAAGAATCAAGAATGGACACCAACCTATTTGTTCCTCAGTATCTTCATGTTTTATTCTGGATGGTTCTGGATCACTCATGTCTTCAATCTCCTCTTTAATAAACTCCATCTTTAACAGTCACACAGATTTCAGCTGCTACTCCTGGAGTTTGTCCTTCTCTTGTAGGATGATGGGAATATTCCCAGTATTTATTGGTGAATTGTTGTGGGAGGGGCTTCACTGCAGGTGTGAACTGTGATCACTGTGTTTTTATCCAATCTGCATTTAAAAAGTACAGGGCCATCATGTTAAACTGAGCAGCTGAAAAACCTCTTTGTCTCCAAAAGTTCCCTGTTTTCAGCTCATTCATTATGGTGATGTCTGAAATCTTCTGTAAATTGCCACATTAAATATTTTTATTGGTGTCAAAAGGCTTAAACAAACTAAAGCATCACCACCTTTAACTTCAGTTCTTGTCTTTGCTCTTTCACTTCCATCTGGTCTGAATCATTAAAACATATTTGGTTGTGTAAATGTATTTGGAGGATAAATGTGCATTTTCAAAAATTTTCAACAGCAAACAAGTGAGAACGGTATATCAAATATCATATTTTGATGTACCAAAGGTTAGTTTTGTCACCCTCTTGTTAATAGTCAAAATGTGAATGACAACGATTATGATCTAAGTGCATTTATGTCATATATGTCTAGATGAATTGCTTATTTTTCACAGCTCTTATGATTGGCATCTAACAATATATATATATATATATATATATATATATATATATATAAACTAAGCCAAACAGTCAGTGATCATCATGCATTGAACTAATTGAAACCATTCATAAAATCAGCCATGACTTTGTGTGTACACTGTAAAAACTAAAGGTGCCTCAAATATCCTGTCGGGTACTCAATGAACTTAAAAATGTAATTTAAGTGCCTAAAAGCTCTTTCTCCTATAGTAGGGTTACTGGTGGAGCATTGCCAATCTTTGCGGTTCTTGCTGGAACTTATGGGATCCTTTAAGCACTTTATATTCAGTTCAGAGGTTCTGGATTCACCTTTTCATAAAAAAATTCAAGGCCCTGATAAGTTTTGGAAAGTAAACACACATAGATACAGGTCCTTGAAAGTGCTTGAATTTATTTAGTGTAATAAGTTTTCTGGAAAAAAATCCATATTATTCCCTCCATTCGGATGAAGTGTGTTTCGCCAACACTTCGTGGCCTATGCACACTATCTTGCTTGATTTACGTTAGTTACACGCATTTACGCGTTATTTTAAGTGTTTCCCACGTGACGTACTTTGTGTTGTACATTGCCATGATGTTCACGCGTGCACAAAACTACTACGAAGGAACCTCGACGTTTGCTGTTGAACACAACACAAGTGTCCCATATTAAGTCCTGAATTTGAGGGTATTGGACCTGGAAAGTCCTTGAAAGGTCCTTGAATTTTACGTTTACCAAGGTGTGGGAACCCTGAGTCAAACACAGCACATATAGGTTATGATCTCTAATCATATCATTTACAATAAGTGCTTTTGAAAAAGGGATTGAATATTCAGCAACCCGAGCTTTATCATTTGTTCATCTGAATTTTTTCACACTATAAAATGCTTTGATTTGGAGTGAGAAATACAGCAGGACTGGCTTTATTGTATCAGATACATGTCACTGCACTGATTGGTCCAGTTTTGGTCTGCAATCTCTAACCCAGAATAAAACCTGCTCCAGAACAGCTTAGCCGTGTAGTGTAAGTTACCATGGTGATGAAAACAACTAAAAACCAATCCACTTTCGTGAGCCCGAAAAAGCCAGAGTTTGTCAAACTAATCTTGAACTTTTCCTGTTAGCAACGGAAACCGGCTTTGTGCAACAGGCCACAGGACGTTTTTATTGTTTTACTAGAGACAAAGAACTGCCTTACACTGACAGCTAAATGACAAGTCAGAAAGTTACAACTTAAAAACAACTTTCACAAAACTAACGTCACAGAATTAAAGTTTATTTCACTATTCGTTTGCTTTATCTGAGTCTGTTTATTTTAATTATTGGATCTGTAGAAACTTTTCACTCACAAACACACACATTGTCAGTGAAATGGTCATTTTATTTGTTTTATTATACAGAGTTATTGTACATACATCTGTTTATGTAATAACAGACTTTATGTAACTAAACAAACTGATCAAATTGAGGGAATTGTTTCATATATTAACATATAACTGATTGTTGTTGTTTTTCTACATTTGTTTCCAGTCTCTTTTAATTTTTGTATTTCTTTGAGTAAGCATTAAATCAAAATAAATTTCAATAATTTTCTTGTTCTCCAACATATAAAACACAATTCTTGTGGCATTCACAACAACTCTAGTTTATTAGTTAAATAAACATTTACTTAACCTGTTAAGCTGCATCCCCATTTTTGAAAAATCCCCAGATATGGCATACCCAAACTGAAACAGATACAGTTCATGAACCCTTTGTACTAAAAGCACAAGTATGATCTCATTTGAAAGCTGACACCTGGAAGTTTATTGTAAATGTAGAATTAATTATTGTCATAATGAAAAAAAAAAAGGTTATATATAGCTTCAAAGTTTTGTAAAGTTATTATACATTTATTTTTATGAAACATCTTCATGAAAATAAAATTGAAGTTGGCATTGTAGCAATCTAGAAATTCACTGCAACTAAAGCCACATCTCTGACCATGTTATATTTAAAATCTGAAGATGATAAGTCTAAAACTCTGTATTTAGTTGACTTTATTTTAATTAGACTCTAAAATGCAAACTGGTGTTTATTGTCATCTTCTAGCATCTATTCAGTCTATTGCCTCTATTTTTTTGTGGTGCAAACGAGCCTCATTCAGTCTCAGTGTCCCCTGCACACATTCACACCTCTCCGGCCTGGTTATGGCTCTAAATATGCTTTTCTTTTGTCTGCATTATAATCACTAAAGACAGGCTATTCACACTGTTTCAATCCCTCATTTCTTTTATAAAAGTTCTCACTTCACAGTGAAACTGTATCAAATGCCCTTTTTGAAAAAAGAAATATTTCAGTAAGCATTCTTATTTAGAAAAAATCATAAAAATTACAGCGAAGTTAGGTGGCAGGTGCACAGAGCTAGCTAGCATGTTAGCTTAGCACACCATCAATACACAAAAATGTAGTGTTTAAAACCATGTTTGTGCTCCAAACTTACTTTATAGCGCAAGTCGAGTGTTTTAAATAACTTTCTGTGATCTGATTTGGCTTCAGATAAAAAAATCAGATAGAAAATATATTATTTTATAGTATTCTGCACAATGATAAAGTCTATATCGATTAGCATTACATTATACATATAATCTATTATTATGAAAATACCTGACATGGCTCGAAGAACACAGGTAAATCAAATATCATTGCAATCATGTTTATTGTCTTCAAAACATCTTTATCTGCACTTTACAGCGATCTCTGATAGCTTTGTTATGTCAGGCAGTTCCTGGAATGTCACATGATTATGGCTCTTCTTCATGTGATCCATATATGGACTGTATACGTGCATACAGCGCCCTCGGGCTACTGGTATGAATTGAAAACACAGTACATCAGAGTATACAGCGCTCATAATGATTACATCGACGCATTTGGGTATACATTCAATAAATATTATTCCTGTCTATAGAAATCTGATGTAAACCTATGAGAATCTATCAATATTTCTCCAAATCTGCACATGTTTGAGCTAAAAGCCCTGAGGGACGTTGTTTTGTCAAGAGCTGTCATGACGATCGCACGGGAGTTTTTTTCTGAATGAGACCGCCTGACGCTCATAATTCATATTAAAGGTAACGACTCATTTTTAATTTCATAACTCCTGACACAAATTAAGACATAACTGTCACTATAAGTTTCTCAGAATACAATAGTGGTCAAATACTGAAACTTGAGTCTTATATCTTTTTAATGATGTATAGTTTGTCAAGGTAATAACATTAAATATGATAGTAACTTTGAAATATAAAAAAAAAAAAAAAACGCTTCAGAGCGCCCACACTCTGGTGAAGCTTAAAGGCCATGGTGCAGGTTTTTTTGTTTTTTTTTTTGGCAATTTTCTAGTTGGTAATAAACATTTAAACAGTTATCCATTGTATTTGATGTTGTAGGGTACTCAAAAATTAAAATATAATACGGAAAAGTCGGTGATATGTTAGCATTTAGCTACAGCTTAGCGATGATTCTTATTTCTCCCACAATGCATTCCATGACGTCACATGAGGTACTCGCTGACTGTTGGACGACAGACGAAAGCCCGCGGCCCGCCTTACCATTGAGGGAGAGTGAAGTGATACGAGAAGTAGCTAGCTAGTGAAAGAGTGACAGTGACAGATTTATAAGTAAAGATAGATAGATAACGATAGATAGATAACGATAGATAGATAACGATAGATAGATAACGATAGATCGATAGATAGATCGATAGATAGATAGATAGATAGATAGATAAAGCATATATAGTGAGAGATAGCATAGCATAACAGATAGCTTAGAGATAGATAAACAAAATGGTTTATTACTGTGTTTGTGGTGGGTGCAAGAACTCCAGCAAAACTGGACATAGGGTCCATTCCTTCCCCAAGGACAAAGGGATCTTCCGAAGCTGGGTGCAGTTTGTGAAGATTAGGCGGGCAGATTTTTCAGCTAGCTCTGTCACCGCCTACTCGAAATTATGCAGCGCGCATTTCAAAGAGGAGGATTACAACTCAGGGGACGCCAAGATGGTCTCACTTGGTTTAAAGAGTGAGAGAAGTTCTAAATTACTTCCTACCGCCGTGCCGTCTGTGAACGCAAACCTCTCTGCTTGCCCTGTCCCGAGGTCGAGAGACACCGTCTGCCGCAAGCGAGAAATTGCCACGGTAAGCATCATGCTAACGTTAATGTTTACAAGCTGCTTGTTAGCTAGCTCTGTGTGTATTTTGTATACCGTGCTCCCTTTGACACAGCCTCCACTAATTTACAAGCACGATCACTCTGACATTAGAAGAGCATATTTCGTGATTCACGAATAAAAATTTAGTATCGCATATCTGGGTCCACTGTACTGTAATCTAAGTCAGTGGTTCCCAACCTTTTTTCTCTTGTGTACCCTCTTAGCATGTTTCTCACCCACTCGCACTGTTTTGATTTTGGTACGGCTGTGCCATAGGTTATTGTTTCTACTGGGAAACTAACGTTAGTTGTAGCACACACGTCCCATTTTATTGATGGACTTATGAAATGACTGGGAATATTTACTTATCGTCTTGGAATTTCAAAGATAAGTAAATAATTTTCAGTACTTCCAAGTTGAAAATAAATGATTAAATGTTGAATGTGCTCCTGCAATGTGCTTGTGCACCCAATGTGCTTGCGAATCACTTCTAAGTATTCATAGTATACCCACCTCTTATTTCACCACTACACCCTTGCATTTTGCTGACCCTTTTTCATATTTGTTTTTTGCAAGATGTTGATAGACGCCTCACAGCAGGAGACTGTGGACAGTGTAGACACTGTGGAGAGTGTCGATACTGGGGATCAGCCCTTGCCCTCCTCCACTTCTGCTGGGACACAGTGTTCTTTGAAGCCCCCACGATGGTCTCATGGTAAAACTTGGGTATTTTAAGGGGTAGATATTATCATATAGTCTAAAACATTGCCAGTATCAATGCAATCAGAACATTTCCATACACATTGATTTAATTAATACATAGCCTACACCAAAAAACATAGCCGTTTAGATTTGCCATGATTGTCACATGTTTGGGTGTTTACTGCCTCTCCACAGCTGTGCAGGTTAACCTGAAGCCCAAGATGGTCAGTGTGGGCACACAGACATCATTCTGCCCACAAACCTCCACTCCCCTCGCTAGTCCTGAACAGACAGATGAAGATGATGATAATGCCTCTGTCATCAGTGACTTATCATGGGTGCCCGAAGAGCCGATGCATGAGGAGCATGAGGAGGACTTGTTTGATGAGCCACCTTACACGTGTGACCCCCACCACAAGTGAGATCATTTAAAACCAACATAGACTATTTTGAATGCTCATTTTTGTGTACTGTAGCTTTGGTAGTTTGAATAACCCCCCCAATAATTTTGTTGTTGTTGTAGTGGCATTGACAAATTCATTGTTTGCCAAGAGGAGCTGATGTGCCTTTTTGACATCTGTCCGGTCTGTTGTGAGAGGTCAGATAGGAGCATCGTGCAGCAGGAAGGAACTTTTCTAAAGATCAAGCAGGTACGGTTTTGTTTACGCAGCAGGCCATCTGATTAGAAAATCAGAATATCTAATTACAATCTGATAGTGTTACATGTATGTCCTGTGTTTCCCCCTGTTTAGTATTTTTGGTTCAGTCCAGTGTCCCAGTTTTCCCGCTCCTCGTTTGTGTTCAGTTCCTTCACCTGTGTTTAGTTAATTTGTCCCAGCTGTGCCTTGTTTCCCTAATCTGTTCTCTGTGTATGTAAACCCTGTGTTCTCCCTCACTCCTTGTCGGTTCTCGTTTGTGTATGGTACGTTTTTGGATAGTGTCTTTTGTTATTAAATCCTGTTTCCTGTATTCCTCGTCTCCTCGTGCTTCTTGGTAACACGCACCCGTAACAGAAGAACCGACCGAAAATATGGATTTGGCAGCAGTAAAGATCCTGCTGCTTTCCCAAGAGGATCTTTCCCTCGAGGCCCACACACAGAGGTATTTGGACTTGGTACCCTTTGTCCATTATGATGACACCAGCCTCTGTGTGTTCTTCCGGGCAGGTCTCAACGCCGAGACCACAGCAAGCAAGGAGATGGGCCTCGGGGGAACCTTGAGGCCTTTGTTGAGTGGGTATTGGCGAGCTGTGGCTCTCCCTTCACCATCGGTCCAGGGGAAGAGGAGGAGCTTATTGACGGACACAGAGCTTCCGCCACTGATCCCAGCCAGCCCAGCCAAGCCCTCACCGCTGGTTCCGTCCAGCCCAGCCAAGCCCTCACCGCTGGTTCCGTCCAGCCCAGCCGACCCTACATCGCTGGTTCCGTCCAGCCCAGCCAAGCCCTCACCGCTGGTTCCGTCCAGCCCAGCCAAGCCTGCACCGCAGCTTCACGTCGCCTGCCCGCCTGCGCCCCACTGCAGCCCTGCCGAGCCTGAGCTTCCCTGCACGCCTGCCGAGCCTGAGCTTCCCTGCACGCCTGCCGAGCCTGAGCTTCCCTGCACGCCTGCCGAGCCTGAGCTTCCCTGCACGCCTGCCGAGCCTGAGCTTCCCTGCACGCCTGCCGAGCCTGAGCTTCCCTGCACGCCTGCCGAGCCTGAGCTTCCCTGCACGCCTGCCGAGCCTGAGCTTCCCTGCACGCCTGCCGAGCCTGAGCTTCTGTGCACGCCTGCCGAGCCTGAGCTTCTGTGCACGCCTGCCGAGCCTGGGCTTACCTGCACGCCTGCCGAGCCGGAGCTTCGCGTCACGCCGGCCGAGCCAGAGCCTTCTCCGCTGGTCCCGTCCAGTCCTTCAGAGCCTTCTCCGCTGGTCCCGTCCTGCCCTTCTGAGCCTTCACTGCTGGTTCCATCCAGCATAGCCGGGCCTTCACCGCTAGCCCAGCCAGAGACTTTCCACGTCCCGTCTGCCCACCCTGAGACTGTCCACGTCCCAGAGCCTGTCCCAGAGCCTGTGATTCCCCCCAAGAAAGTTTTGGGGGGGGGATATAGGCCACCTGAAGGTGCGTCTCCGCCATGGCCGCCCGAAGGGGATTCTCCGCCATGGCCGCCCGAAGGTGCGTCTCCGCCATGGCCACCTGAAGTGGCCTCTCCACCATGGCCACCTGAAGTGGCCTCTCCACCCTGGCCACCCGAGGGAAAGTCTCCACCCTGGCCGCCCGAGGGAAAGTCTCCGCCCTGGCCGCCCGAGGGAAAGTCTCCACCCTGGCCGCCCGAGGGAAAGTCTCCGCCCTGGCCTCCTGCACGTCCTGCTCCGCCCTGGCCTCCTGCACGTCCTGCTCCGTCTGGCCTCCTGCACGTCCTGCTCCGCCCTGGAGGCTTCCTGCTCCGGGTAGGCCACTCCCTCGTCAGCCTCCAGGGCGCCCACCCCCCCACCCTTATTGATGTTACTCGGCGCGAGGACGCGCCTTGCAGGAGGGGGGGCTAATGTTACATGTATGTCCTGTGTTTCCCCCTGTTTAGTATTTTTGGTTCAGTCCAGTGTCCCAGTTTTCCCGCTCCTCGTTTGTGTTCAGTTCCTTCACCTGTGTTTAGTTAATTTGTCCCAGCTGTGCCTTGTTTCCCTAATCTGTTCTCTGTGTATGTAAACCCTGTGTTCTCCCTCACTCCTTGTCGGTTCTCGTTTGTGTATGGTACGTTTTTGGATAGTGTCTTTTGTTATTAAATCCTGTTTCCTGTATTCCTTGTCTCCTCGTGCTTCTTGGTAACAAGCACCCGTAACAGATAGCTCTGACTGTTTTGCCAGTTAATTTACAATGTATGTACCAGGCTGGCTTTAGTCTATTGGTTTGTGATGGCATCATATTTGAGTGTTATACTGTATTGGTTATGTGTATTTCATTGAAAACATGAAATCTTTGACCAGTGATGTACAGTACTTAATCTAGATTAAATCCTGAAATACTGTTGATTACTTTTTTTTTTTTTTGACATATCCAGGTCTGTGCATCATGTGGCTACCACCGATTCTGGCAAAACCAGCCAATGCTCCACAGGAACATGCCAACCTGCAACCTCCTGTTAAGCGGGGCCATTCATTTCACTGGATGTTTGGCCACCCAGACATTAAGAATGTTGACTCTGTTTGGCCTTCAGTGCATCAGTGCGAGCAGTAACTTTCGCCATCAGCGCCGCTACACCATCCCAGTAATCGTTCAGGCCTGGCAAAACGATCAAGCGAAGAATTTTAGTGACCTACGGGCAATGGATGGTGGACTAGTTCTTGCTGGTGACTGCAGGTAAACCAGTGTGAGAGCTCATAGACCAGTTGCACATTTTGATTTTGTTATTTGTTATCCTGTAGGGTGGCTTTATTTGGCATTTGCAGATGACATGGTGGATGGTCTTTACAGACTTTGGTTTTTAAAAACTTGAAACCTAATTCGAATTTGTAATTAATTCCAGGTCAGATTCTCCTGGGCACTGCGCAAAGTATGGATCCTACTCTCTGATCGAGGACAGAGTGAACAAGGTGGTGGATGTTCAGCTTGTTCAGGTAAACCTGATGTTATTAGACAAATAAATGAACTCTGCAATTTAGTAAACTGATTGTATATTAATATACCATCTTTCCACTAGTACAACGATGCTTGGAGCTTTGTGTATTGCCTAACTAGAGTACAGTGTATCGTAATGCTTGGACCAGCAACGCGTCGGTTCATTCACGCCTCCTTCAACAACAGCAGCATTCTACACTTACACTGTTATGTCATGTTGCAGAGCTCAGAGGTCCCCAACAGCTCATGGTGTGAGCTTGAAGGGCTCAAGCGCAGTGTTGGCCTGCTGAGGGGAAAGGACCTGCATTTGGCAACGCTGATCACGGACCGCCATCGCCAGGTATTTACAATAAAATTGCAGTATAGAATGTAAATATCTGAATTGCACTGAAGCTGGATGTTTGTGGTTTGCTGATGCACTGAGGGCCACACAGGTCAATCATCCACAAAAGCTTGTTTATTTCTCCTTAGGTTGCCAAATGGGTGAGAGAGGAGCTGTGCCCTGAAGGGACACAGCATTATTTTGATGTGTGGCACATTGCCAAAGTATGTATCCATTGTTGGAACCTTGAAGCAGTTTTTGTTAGTGCATATCAATTAATACCATTTGTTCTAAAACAGGTCTGGGGAAGGCCTTGGATGCAGCTTCAAAAGAGTGTGACCAACTACAGCTGTGGAGGCCTGCTATAGTGAATCACCTCTATTGGACTGCTGCCTCAACCCCAGACGGCAACCCAGCAGTCATAGAGGCTAAATGGAAAAGTTTAGTCAACCACATCCAGGACATCCATGACCATGACACCCCTGCCTTCTCCAGTTGTGCCCATGGCCCTCTAGACGGGGATCAGCGCAACAAAGAGTGGCTGGACCCAGGTACAGCACACACAGCATGTGGTATTATGTACGCTCTAAAGTTTTGTTGTATTTGCTGTCTGAGTGCTTTGACGTGACCTATGATGATTACATTTTTTTTTTCATTCCCTGGCAATCTCATATGGCAATCTGTTTACTGTTTATGTTTGCTATAATTCATATGCAGGACCATATCATGTGTTTCCATTAAAAAATTGTTTTTTTTTGTCTGAATCTATCTTCTTGTTTATTTATATGTTTTCCATCTGTGTGTGTGTCTGTCTGCCTCCCTGCCTACCTGTCTTGGTCTTTGCAGGCTCATTGGCAGCAGTAAAGTTGGAGAACATAATCGCGAGGACTGCCTTACTGAAAGATGTTCGACAGCTGTCTCCACAGCACCAGACCTTCTCCCTTGAGGCTTACCACTCCCTCATCTTGCACTTCGCGCCCAAGGACACAGGGTTTTCATACCTTGGGATGTATAGCAGGTCAGTGCTATCCAATGGAATAATACAGCCAATTATTATGCCTTTTATAGTAATAATAGTACCTATTATCATGCCTAGTATTTTGTCATACATAAACCAAGTTTCAAAAAATTTCTCAAATGTGTTATTTTGTAGGCTTCTCTTAGCGGCGCTGCATTATAATCACAATGCCAACCGGGAGACAGCACGGAGAAGTGATGGGACGGAGAAGTACTGCGTGCGGTATCCGCGCTTCAGAAAAGGTGCCCATGTGGTGCGTCCCATCAAAGAGGCAGCCTCATACGGTAAGCAGTGTCATGCAGTTCTATCATATTTTGAGATGGCTCACGAGACATCTGTGATCACTGGCAATGATCTTTATTAAGTATTATTATTATTATGTCTGCAGGTTATGCAACATCATTGATGAAGGCCCTTCAGGAAAGCTACACCCATTCACCTGCAGCTCTTCGAGAGGTTAGCGCTAATTTGTCCTCCGATGCACCCGCCCCCATCGCCAAATCCTTTGAACAGGTTCCTAAGGAGGAGGCCGTCAGCCTCTTCCTAGCCCGGCAGTCACGCTACAAGAGAACCTAAATTCACATTATTATTATTTTTTTTTTTTTCACAGACAATTCCAATGATTTAGTTGTAAGTATTTATTTTATTTTAATTTATTTTAGTAAGTATTTATTTAGTTATCTTCTTTCCTTCTGTCCCTGTCATCTCATTTGGTTGTGGTTTCCTGTATTCTGCATGTTTTGTTTTTTCTTTGTGTGCTGTTGCTTTGGTTTTACTTTACACTAAATCATTACATTTTTTACATCTTTATAAGTGGCAATAATTGTCGCTGTACCCCATTCACGGGGTCCTGCATGCTGCATGTCTGCTCCTCTGTCTGTTATTTGCATGAAATTTGTTGTATGTAATTCAAAATAATTTACCAATCATTTTACCTGTGCCTTGTCAACGTCTGTGTGCGGTGTTGTCTGGGCTCACTGTGTGTCAGCTTGATGTGCTTTTGCATGTATCACTGCATATGCATTCATGAAAGAGTGTGTGTGACTGTGTGTGTGTGACTGTGTGTGTGTGACTGTGTGTGTGTGACTGTGTGTGTGACTGTGCGTGCGTGTGTGTAAGTGAGTGTGAGTGAGTACGAGAACCATCAGTTGACCCTCAGGTAAGACCACACTTTTGCAGGCATCTGAGAAATATAGCCAAGATTCGACCATTTGTGTCTTTGTTCAGTAATCTTTGTCCTTGTTCAATAAATGTTTAGTAACCCTTACAAGCAATGCCAATAAACTGTTATTACTTATTAACCCTCTGGGGTCGGCAATCACGCCGGTGTGATCTGCTCGCTTTTTTTCTTATCAGTGCAAAAGAGACTAAAAAAAAACTCGGTTGATTTTGATCTTACATTTAAGTGTTATACATCATTAGATCCTGTTAAGTTTCTATTTTTTTTGTGGATACTCACAATAAAAACAAAGTGTTGTGCTTTTCACCAAATAAAGAAAAACAAACATGATGCGAGTTCTGCGTTCTCTCTGTCAGTGAAGTCCATTCTGAAACGCGTCTTAAGATTAACTGTAACTCCGCGATTACTTGTCACACAGGCACGAGAGATTTTTCTTTATGAAGCTTGAATTCTCTTTTAAATGAAGTAATTTATATAAAAAACAAATATTCTCAGTTTATGCAATCTGTATGAAAAGAGAGTGCTGTCAGTATTTTTTCCCCAGCTCATTACACTTCATTACGCGTTAATCTGACACGCCCACGGAGGACGCGCGCTATTCAAACGCAAATGTCGAGGCAAGCCATGACAATGCCCACATCAGCCGTTCCACGCGGCGGTAAAATGTGTGGTGTATTTGCTGCCTTTTACCGCTAAGAGGCGCTACAATCATAGACTCTGAAAAGTGTTAGTTTATTCCGGTTTATTCTATCGAATGCGTAATCTGCTGCCGCACCGCGGCTGATTCAGAGCGAAAGCTGGTAGCAGAAGAATTCAACAAGTGAAACGTAGTTAAAATAATTCATAATCACAATACTGAAATTAGGCTACTGAAATGTAATTGAATAAATAATGAAAACATTTCAACATAAAACATTGCAATAAAAACATTTAGGCTACATCAATGAGGCTTTACAACTTTTACAGCGTACCGACGGTAGCTCAGTGATCAACGCAACAACACAAGCTTCGAGGAGCTTCTCTCGACTCGAGATCGAATCTCAATGTAGCATACATGTTGTTAATCGATGTTGGCCTACAGCGTTTATATTTTACCACCTTGATGCTTAAATATGTAACTGTTTATAACTGTTTACTTATTTAAAGTCAAGAGTTTTGTTTAATTATCATTACAACATAAATTTGCTACATTCCTGTAGAACCGCAGCCGCTGCACAAACGACAAAAACTGATGAAGGAAGATTGTCAGCCGATTGCATCAGAAAATGAAAATGAAGAAGCTTGTCTTTAGTCTGCTAAATTATTGTGTAATGTAAAAGAACACTAAAATTACTTAAGTTTGAAACCAAGTTCGAACATTTCAAGGTTTAAATAAAGTGTCGGGACAGTTTTTTTAAATTTAAAACAGGGTTGCATCGGGTTTAGAGTTTATTTCTTTTGCGATGCAAAATAAGAAACATAGGCTAATCTTATTCTTGCGACATTTTAAATTTGTATTGCCAAAGAAATTACAGCTAAATTAAACCGAAATTTGTCCAAAGAAACATAATTAAATTAAAAACATGCGTTTTTCTTTGCCTCTCTCGCGCTGGATCTCTTTTTAACAAGTTTATTTAGTCTCCCTCGATGCGCGCGCCGGGTCTCTCTCGAAATTAAACATTTCAGGGTAAAACACATCATAGAGCTGATAATACTGTATGTCGGTGCGTGTCAGCCATACAAATCACGAAAAACTTATTTAGCCTTTAATTGTTGCTTCAAAGACACAGCATGCATTGTTAAATTCACCTTACAATAACTTCAATTGAAATTTTGTGTGAAAAAAAAACTTTAAATAGGCTACAATAAATAAACTACAATATTTATAATTTAATAAAATATGGGGCCTACATTTGGACACAGATTTATCCTTACAATAATTTTGCCTGCTCATCAGGCTGGCTATCCGACACTCTCCATATGAAAGAGGAACATTAACACCTTTGTCCAACTGTCCCTCCAACCCCCACAGGCTATCGGAGAGTGACTTAACACAAAGAGAAGTCGCAATTCACACTTAAATCGCTATTCTAGACAGTGTTGATAATGAAGGAATTAAATGGAATTACATGTAGCCTAGTGATATTTCTGTCATAAAAGTTTATTAAATATTTCATTATTTCAATAATTGATGAAAAAAAACTGGTTTGGGGCAGCTTTTTCCAAGCAAAACTAAATATAATCTGAAAATACGCTTGTTAATTTGTTGTCATGAACAAAATGTTCAACTCAATATTAAAGTCTATAGGGATCTTTGGATCCTTACAACCAGGCATGCAATTTGTGAATTAAGTTTTTATTTTATTTTATTTTGTATTATTCAAATAAATATCGAAACATGGTGCTTCGTGGTAATGCTGCTAAATTAAATAACATTTATAGAATAATTATGAACTTAAATGAAACAATATCGCAACATTTCGACAAATACATTATTTGATCTGTTTTTACATTTTAATTCAGGGCGATTTAGCCTACATTTTCACCCTTGTCTTGTCATTTTCTCATTGGGAAGCGCTTACATTACATGTTTGAGTAGATCCTCTGTACCTCTCGTTTTCATATGGATTAGCCTACATAATCAGATAACATTTATTAGCCTAAATATTTAGACATTTAAAGGCTTTAGACATAGCCGATTTCTTATCGTGACTGAACTGAAGTGGCTTTCGGTTCATTTTTGTGACGCGCAGTTCCCGGAGACAGAGACGACAGATATACTGTTTTTGTCGTTAGCCTAATATGAATACAAGTTTACAGTTTTGAATGATGTAATCTACTCTACTCTTATCTGTATGACCAAAAAATTATGGAGTCGCCTATTAAGTTATTTTAGCTGTAATAATAAGAGAAATAAATTAATCTAAATGAACGCGCCGCCGCGTTTGTCGAACACTAACTCACCATGCCAGAATAAAACCCGACTTTAGAAAAATGCATAGGGCCACTCGGCGTGGTGTGCCAAAACACTTAATTAGCTATAAACTTCAATATTTCATTCAAAATAATCTCAACACGCTTTGTGAAATTTGAAAAGCAGTGCATGCATTAAGGCCACTGGAACTAATGAACAACTGAAACGCTGGTTTTGATTTTATTGTTTGTCGTTTAAACGTGCCTGTTGCATATCTCTATTTTATATATTTGATATTGGTGAAGTAGCCTATAGCATTGATTAGCTGTGGAGGGAGGGGTATGGGGATTAAAATAATTCAGCAGAAGCAGGGATGTTTAGACCAGAAGGAAATCCCAGTCCCCCCTGGCAAATCACACTTAACTTAAAACCATGTTTTTAAAAACTCTAGGTTGTAGGGAACAGACCTCTCTGCCATGCGCGCACACGGTTTGGAGCACAATATCTGTCTCGCATGCACGCTCGCTCTAGACAAATTACGGGATATTTTAACTAATTTGCGGTATAATAACTAGTCGATCACGAGTGGCTCAACAGGTAGATCTATAGATAAACTATATCTTTCAGGAATTTGACCGACCGGGTTGACACTTCAGCGTGAGAAATCGGGGGTGTGGCGTGAGAGCCTGGAATAAAAAATATATATATCGCCTATAAATAGGCTATATATAATTTATTTTTTTACAGAACTGCTTTTGAAATTACGATTGGTAGCCTATTATTATACAGATGCAAAGTCGTTCTGTTGGATACTATTTTGTTCCTTAGTGTAAAATGGAAATGCATGATAATTGTATTTTATAAATATAAGCAAAAAAAAACCTGTATGGTGTAACAGAGTTTTAGAGCTAGACAAATCTCTCTGCAATAATAAATATAAAATTTACAGCAGACCATGTTTCTGCGGGATTTGAACCCGTGTCATCTTGATGATGAACCGTAAGTTCTACCACTTGGCTATGAATTTTCTCACTGAGAAAAACCCAAACGTTTGTTTCTCACATGAGCGAGAAAACGTTTTGTCTTTAGCCTGTGAGAGTGTAGGCCTACTTTAGCCTTTTACAGTTTTAAAAGATTATATCTTATCTGTATGACCAACAATTTGTTGTAGGCTTATTTGGAAATTACCATAACTTGTAGTATTTCATCCTTAGGCTACTGTTAATAGACATTAGCCCACTTACGTTTTGCTAAATGTCCCTTTGCGCCACCTGGCGGTCATTTCGCGTACGACTTTGAAATGCGACTGGTTTATTTTTACCGCGGTGGATGGCTAAAAATGGTATGTGGATGGCTAAAAGGTGTGACTAAAAATGTGCTTTTGGCTTTCATTTATATTTTGATTGTTTGTATATATATATATATATATATATGTGTGTGTGTGTATATAAATATTTATTTATTTATTTATATATATATATTGTCCTTGCATTCTTTCTTGTGTGACACCCTGAATG